GGTTTCCTCCAGGTTTTGCACAGCAGCTCCATTGTGAGGACTGATGTCACTGTTTGCAGGAAGCCAAGCGAAACAAGCAATTCTGGAGTGGAACATAATGTGCAAGTCCTTTTTTAGGTTTGTTAGCGTCTACTTTCCACAACACACGCCCCCTCTATCTATTTGCTCAAGGATTTCTTTTTTCTTTTCTTTTTTTTTCTGAGACAATGACAATGCTGATTTTGTGTGTGTGTGTGTGTGTGTGTGTGTGTGTAGAGCTCTCTTCAGTTCCAAACAAGGCTGCAGCCGTCACATCACTGAGAATAGTTCATGAGTTACAAATCTGCAGATTCACAGTGCAATCATAATTTCCACACTCTGAGGTTGACGAAGTGCCAGACAATGATGTGGTCGTCGACATCTTAACTGTGGTCAAAAACAAAAAGCTATGTCTATCTACCTCAGTGGTTCTCAAACATTTTCTACTCTGTAGCACCTGAGAAAACATTGATCTCTCTGAGTACCACCATGATGACCAACATTAGAATATAGCAGCAGAGGCCTTCACTGTTAGCTTCCAACAGACAGGAGAGATGTTTATGAATGTTTATGTTTAAATGTTGTATTAATTGTGCATGGTATGTTTCAGATTTATTCAATTGAAAATGTAAATGTGAAAATATGATTTCTCCCCATTTTACCACTAGAGAGCGCTCGCGTACCACTGCTGGTACATGTACCACAGTTTGAGAACCACTGATCTACTCTCTCTGTATGGGCTGCATTAGTGAAAATGACAGTGATGGTTGGTTTATATGCACTGTTGGTTGTTGACATTGACTGGGCATGTGCAGAGACAAATGCTCCCACCAAGAGACTCAACAGGTTTGTCAGCAGGGCCTTTTGCTGAAACCATTACATAAGCAGGTCCTGAAAGACTTAGACTGTACTTGCATTTACTTGACTCTCTGTTATTACTGTTGGAAATGAGCGGGGTTGTCAGAGAAGAGTTACACAACAGTGATCACAGACACACGTTCCACTGGCAAAACTGCACAAGGTAGTAATCCCAGAATATGAATGCACAAGGTAGCACAAGGTAGTAATCCCAGAATATGAATACTTTTCCAGAATGTGTTGCAAATTTAATTTTAAATTAGTTTCAGTTTAAGAAACATATTTATGTTGGTCATTTTACAAATAAAAGCTCAAAAGTATCACCTAATTATATTGAGTTTTTGATTGTGGTGCATTCACTAAAGTGCACCAATGTATTTGGACATCCATTTTGTGTCTGTTTTTTTTGTTTTATCTGAAAGCAGTCATGCATCCATGCATCCGGCCATAAATTCATCCATCCATCCATTTGTCACTCACTGTCTGACTACAGCTGTATTACTTGTTGTGTTTTATGGGCCTCTAATCTGGGCTTTTATGGTCATGTAAAGGTCTTAAAAAGTATGGTTGGCGTCCAGAGGAAACTAAAAGGACAATCTCTGTTTGCTCTTCACTTGGCTGATATGGAAGGAATGCTCATCAATAATCCTCCTGTCTGTGTGTGTGTGTGGTTCATGGTTCGTTACAGTGATCGCAAATCCAACAAACTGTGCCCTATTATTGCGCAACATTATATCTTTGATGGGTTTCCCTTTGCTTGAAAGTTTTACATCGTCATAACTCTGACGAGATCCTTTCTTTTCTATTTTATTACCTGACCAAAAAAAAAAAAAATGTTGCTACGAACAGACCTTCATGGGATAAATATAGTCCTCTCACAGTTCTGAGACATACAGTCAGTGCTCACCAACACTTTAAAACCATCACACGGAGTGACCACAATTTACTTTGCAATATGCCACGTCCGTGAGAACTGTTGTAAAGGTCATAAAATGATCTGCTTGTTCATTATACCCCAGGTTTGACTTCATGTTCCACTGCTCCGTGTGTGTCTCCACGTACAGGAAGAATGCTGACTAAGGAGTAGGAGCGGAGCACTATTGGCACCGCAACAAGAGGGGTCTCACGTAGATGTCAAGAAACACAGCATTTAATTATGTTTAGAGAATAATGTTTCTGTACATGGGTAAAACTGCAGTTTTGTTTTTACAGAAACTTCAAAACGCCCATTATGCAATTTGTACGTCTTCCAGCTCAGTTGGCCATAAATGTGTAACAATGACAATTTTCTTCCCTGTCAGCCCCTCACCCTTCCACCCCCCTTGCTTCCCCCACTCCCTTGCTGAGGACTCCAGCCAATTGCACCTCAGCAGCGTCCCTCCCCTGCTCTGATAAATAGCACCAGAGACCAGAGAAGGTCCATCCGTCTGACTGTACTCCCCTTTGGAGAGTTTTCCCTCTCACTTCTCCGTTCACTGCTTCAGTCTCTCTCTCTGTGACCATGTCTGTCAGAGCTGTGAAAACAACTACCTACTCCACTAAGTCGTCCTCCAGGGGCCCAACTCAGGGCTTCAGCAGCCGCTCCTTCTCTGGGTATGGAGGTGGCAGGCAGAACTACGCCGTGCGCAGCTCCTACGGGGGAGTGGGCAGCAGCGGTGCGGCCATGGGAGTCGGTGGGTACAAGGTCGGCGGGGGCTTTGTAGCTGGTGGTGCTGTACAGAGAGGAGGTGGTGTGGAGTTTGGTTATGTAGGCTTTGGCGGAGGTATGGGTGGATGCATGGTGAATGAAACGGTGGCCCCCATCACAGCTGTGACTGTCAACAAGAGCCTGCTGGCACCCCTGAATCTGGAGATTGACCCCACCATCCAGAGCATCCGCACCGAGGAGAAGGAGCAGATCAAGACTCTGAACAACCGCTTCGCTTCTTTCATTGATAAGGTACGTCAACAGGAGGAGGTGTTTTACTTTAGGTACTTTATATAAAACTAGCTAACTGAGCAGAAATTGGATGATGTGCAACCAAAAATTTTTTAGGATAGATTTTACAAAACAGCCACTTATCCCTGAGACAATCTTAAGTTATATCTTAAATTATTGTTTTTGTGTGATAAATGGAGCGAGTTGAGTCCAAAAGGTGAAAGATTAGTTTGCACTCATGCCATTGATCCCTGGTGGGAACTGATGGTCTTTTCTGTTTGGAGTTCAGAACATGATTAGACACTGAATATGTATGTGATTGCCTGTGTCTACATGTGGCCATGTGGTGGACTGGTGAACTGTTTGTTTGACTGCATAGATGAGAAGTATCTTGCCTAAATACTGTAGAACATCAACATGTCAACAGTCACTTGCTGTGTGTGTCATGGTGTGTTATTTGCAACTCTTAATCTTAATATCCACCCACTGGTGGGGAACGGACACATGACAGGAGGACATTTTCAAGGTGTGAAGTGATGATGGCAGAACTGCCATTTTCTTTTCTCTTTTGGAACTTTGTGTTATTTCAGATTATTGATTTTGATTCATTATAAAATATGGTGTTAGTTCAATAAATTCAGAATGTAATTTTTGTTAGGCTTGTATATCTCCACTTGTCCAAAGTGAGGAACGACCAAAAAAAGTTTGAGAACTGTTTTAAAGACATTATGGGTGTGGCAGGAGGAAGGTTTGTAAACCTTCACCATCATATCACAAAAGCTCCGGAAAAATCTCCATCAAGGTTTTCTACATTGTATTAAAAAAAAAGATTAGCGAGGCGTCTTATCAGTAGAGGGACAAGGTCTTAATGATTTCTGAAAAAGGCACTGATTTCTTAAGTCATCTTGTAACTCAGTAATGTAGGATTGACAGTGACTTGTAAATCAGCCATGCACAGGCAGATTCTGCTGTGATAACACACAATGCCGAGCGTCTTCAGCCGTGTTTGCTGAGTGGTAGCAGAACCCCACCCAACGTCAGGCTGGTGAATAGCGAAGATGCAGATTGATGAAGAGGTTCACAATTGGGAAACAGTGCCACTCTGTGTTAACGTGTGGCGAGAGAGATTAGTACTGTGTGGAGAGTAATCGATGTGACATGAAGAGGTCGTCGTGTGTCACGGGAGGTCGCTTTGTCATATTCTTTTTCACATGTTCTTTTGTTCACGACTCTTGGCAAACAAGGCAGAGCTTATCTGCTTCTTGAGTCACTTCCTCCTTTTTACAGTCTTTCTTATCTACTCTGACAGAATATGTCTCTGTTCTCACAGTTTGTCAGGTTAAAACAAACAAAAAAACAATTTTAATCAATAACCAAATTCCAATTGAACACCATTAGCATCAAAAGTTCACTGTAAACGATCACTGAAACACTGATTCTGTTCTCTGCAGGTACGCTTCCTAGAGCAGCAGAACAAAATGTTGGAGACTAAGTGGAAGCTCCTGCAGGAACAGACCACGTCTCGCTCCAACGTTGATGCCATGTTTGAAGCCTACATTAACAACCTGCGCAGGCAGCTCGACAACCTGGGTCACGAAAAGGTCAAACTGGAGTCTGAGCTGCTCCACACGACGGGTCAGGTTGAAGACTTCAAAAACAGGCAAGTTCTGTGTTGTGGTTGTCAAACTGAACCAAACGGAACAGGACGACAAAAACAGGCAGTTGACGGTTCATAACAAAACTGGATTATTCATTTAAGTAAATAAATCTCATTAAGAAAACAAGTGTTCAGGAGGTACAGGGAAGTAGGTAGGACTCAAATACAGAATTCAGGAGACAGAGATCAAGTTTATTAATAACAGACCCAAATGCAAAACAGCCATTTAAAAAAATAATACTGAACGGAGTAAATTAACATGGAACAGGGAGAAGCAGAGACAGAGGGAACAGAAAAAGTAACACAAAAGGACACAAACCTGTCAACAAGGACCAAACCAAACCAAACCAATCCAATCCAATCCGCAACAAACAAGTCAACAAGGACCAAACCAAACCAATCCAATCCAATCCGACCTGGCAACAAACAAGTCAACAAGGCCCAGGCAACCCAAACCAAACCAAACCAAACCAAACCAAACCAAACCAAACCAAACCAAACCAAACCAAACCACCAACAAAGACAGAGTGAGGATGAGGGGTATTTATACCCAGAGCAGCAGGTGAGAGGAGTGAGACTGATGAACAGAGACTCACAGACCACAGGTTGTCATAGGTATGAAGAGGAGATCCGTCTTTTTCCCTCATCAAAACTGACAACAAGTCCACAAACAAAATTCACTACATTGCACCATGTTGCATTTAAAGTAATCATACGTTACATTACCCCCAGTAGCCTGGTGCTAACCCCACAATGAGTTATTGCCACCTCAAATGTCTGGTCTGGTTAAATTTAAACTATTTCAATTATAAAGACATTTTAATGTGATGGTAAATTAATTTTTGGTTTTCTTCATTGTCTGAATTCAATGTTGCATCTTTACACAAATACAGGTTTTTGGTTACACTTTAATCAGGTATAATCAGGTGATCAATGATTTTGATTTCTACAGTACTATGAAAAAATGGGAATAATTCAAACTCGACTGTCGTTGTTGTCATAGGTATGAAGAGGAGATCCACAGGCGCAATGAGTGTGAGAACAACTTTGTTCTCTTAAAGAAGGTTTGTCCGTGTCCTTGGTCTTTAAAGTGTAACTGCCGTTGAAGCCCACTGAGCCGACACCGTGGTCATGTGTGGACACCACAGTGATTTGTCTCTGTCGTCTTTTTCCCTCACAGGACACAGATGCAGCCTATCTGATCAAAGTGGAGCTGGAAGCCAAACTGGATGGACTCTCTGATGAGATCGACTTCTTGAGGCAAATCTTTGAAGCTGTAATAACCTTACATTACTCTTTAATTATTAAATAAATATCCCAAAACTGTGTGAAACAGGATATCTCCAATGATAAACTATTTCCAAATTTGTTGTTGTCCTTGGTTGGTGCTGACAGGAAATCTGTGAGCTCCAGGCCCAAATCAAGGACACATCTGTGGTGGTGGAGATGGACAACAGTCGAAATCTCGACATGGACGCTATTGTCGCTGAAGTGCGTGCCCAGTATGAAGACATTGCCAACAAGAGCAGAGCAGAGGCTGAGTCATGGTACCAGAATAAGGTGAGATCACGCTCAGCATTGATTCCACAGCATGACATCATCTGCATAGACACACACCCTGCTGCCTTCTGCAACACGGAAAATCTGAAGTCAAAACTGAAACATCTAAGAAAAATGTGATCAACCTTTATCATTGCACATGCTAAAATGCTATATATATATATATATATACTGTTATCAGTACATAGAGATGCAACAGTCAGCTGGCAGATATGGGGATGACCTGAAATCAACAAAGGCTGAGATTTCTGAAATGAACCGCATGATCCTGAGGCTTCAATCTGAAATTGATCACATCAAAGCACAGGTAAGAACTGCACAGCTCATCAATTCCATTAACATTATTGGATTTGATGATTTTTTTTTTGGATTGCTTGTATGTGATTTCATTAAAACTATTTTTTTTCCTCAGAGAAGTAATCTAGAAAACCAGATTGCCGAGGCTGAGGAGCGTGGGGAGCTGGCGGTGAAAGATGCCAAAATGCGTGTGAGGGACCTGGAGGAAGCTCTTCAGAGGGCCAAGCAGGACATGGCCCTGCAAGTACGTCAGTACCAGGAACTGATGAATGTGAAACTGGCCCTGGACATTGAGATCGCCACCTACAGGAAGCTGCTGGAGGGAGAAGAAGACTGGTACACATTACATTGCTGCAGATGGCATCATCTGTGTTTGAAGTACTGAAGTTCTGAGTTCTGAGTTCTGATTGGATTTGACTTTTGTCACTCTTTGATTTGTCTCTACAGGTTAGCAACTGGAATCAAGACCAATGTGACCAAGCAGACTTGTAAGTATGTTTTCTTTTTTACTGATAGAAGTAGCTGAAAAACTGAAGAGCACCAGAGTGTCTGACAAAAATTGTTAGATTCAACTTCACTTGTTTTAGTTACCAGAGGTAAATGAATGGTTCTGGAAGGAGTGGTTAAACACATTTCCACAAGTGTGCAATTTACTAGTGTTTTTGCAAGTACTTCAGCAACTCCATGTTCAAATATCCATACATGTAATGCACAAGATGTTCTGAAGAGTGTAGGGGGGCGAGGGGGGGCGGGGGGGATACCAGAAGATCAGCCGGGAGAGAGAAAAATGATCAGTGCTGTAGAAGGTTATGAACAAACATACCATATCCATATCTCCCCTTTGGTGCAAGGTAGATGAGGAGGAGCACGACCAAAGCCTCACAGTATGACCTCCATCTGGAGCTTGTAAAGATGAACATTCATCTTCTCCTGCTCAGTCCCGTTATGATTTGTGAAGGGAGCTGGAACAGGGGAGGATGAGTTGAGGATTTTTGACTTAATCGTCCACATACAGTCTGATTTCATGTGGATGTCTGACGCCCTCTGGTGGAATTCGTTTCTACAACCCTTACAGCACAGTTCAATGATACAGTATGTTCAGTAGGTGTTGAATTGTAATTCTTGCTAGTGAATGCTATCAGCTAGGACAAAGGTTTTAAACATTCCAGTTTAAACCACAGCTCAAAAATGCACAGAATGAGGGAAGATAATCCTGGACTCCAAATTAATGAAATGACTCTTTGGACCAAACCCTGGCTCTTTTAAAAGATTACATCACTGTAGACCAGGGGTCCCCAACCCCTGGCCCGGGGACTGGTACTGGACTGTAGGTCATTTGGTACCGGCCCACAAGGGGACACAGTGAAAAATGTAATTCAGTTTTACCAATCCAGTCATATCCCTTTACTTTTTTCTTTAAAAGATGGCAATGTTTTAAAACAACAGGCCATTACATCTCTGACACTAATAGAATAAAGTCTAAAGATGGTTTATTCAGAAAATACAAAGATCCGTCAACAATGGCGTGGTATTAGTGGTCTACAGTAACAGCTGATACTGGCTGACCGGCCTGACCGGGACCACTGCTGTAGACCCTTGAAGCATGTACTATAATCATATCCTCGACTGCACTGTGAGAATGTTATTCATTAACTTTTACTTCTGACATTGACAGCTGTGAACTACAGTGCCTTTGCCCTGGAAAGCTCCCGCACCCCATCCTATGTCACCGGCTGCTTCGGTGGAGTCAAAGTGGGCGGAGGTTCTTTCGCTATTGGTGACGTTGGCGTTTCTGTTGAGGCACCGTCAGTAAAGAGCTCCACAGTCACCAAGACAGAAACTGTGGTCATCAAGACAGAAGAGAAAAAGACAGAGGAACAGGAAGAAATGAAGGAGGGTGAAGTAGAGAAAGAACAGCAGGCAGTGGTTGAGGAGGTAGCTGTCGAAGAGAAGCAGGAGAAGGAGCAGGAGCAGGAACAGGTGAAGGCGGAGGCGGAGGTGGAACCCGCAGCCAAGGAGTGATGCTATAAGCGTCATGATATGTCATCTTAAATGTTAAAACAACTCACACAGTTACACCATTAGGTGTAAGTGTTTCATTTAATAATAATGAATCTCTTTATTAGGAGTGATTTACACACCTTTCTCCCAGATGTCATCACTGACTAAGTGCTAATAGTCTTTCTAAAAAATGGCTTTTTTACGCCACCTCCCATAGTTAACCAGCAGGTGGCAGTATTGTATATCTTTCCCTCTCTGGTCCGACTTCCCGATTGTTCTCTTCGCAACAGAAAGCACTGTGAAATATCTAAACGGTCCTCAACACAACAGAGTAAATGTCTCACATTATACTGATGTTGGAGCACTGTTTACTGAACAAATAAATGAAACCTTACTTTACATTTGTTTGAGCTGTTCATTTATTTCTAAACACCGAAGAATACATAACCGTGCATGTCACAAGGCAGTTATAAGGTAAAACTTAATATCAGTCCCTTGTGGTTGGGAAAAAACAAACAAACACACACATCATAAAAGGCACTATATAAACATCTTAAATAAGCCCAGAGGGGTTTGCCATGCAATTGATCTAAAAGGCTAAGTAAACACAAACATGCCCGAAGAAGAAAATCTACTTGATAATGAAGGTTCAACTGTGGAGGCATGAGAAAGAAGAGAGTATAACTGGGATTAAAAGATGACAGATTACAGCCTGTCCTGATCGAACTACACACCAGAAGAATTTAGTTCGCCATCATGTCGTTTTCAAAACCATTTGAGTCACACTGTGTGAAAGAAGGCTGTTTGTCCAAAATGTGTATAAAAACTATAAAAGGATGGAGGATTTAAGGGCCACACAAGAAGCGACAGAAGTGTCTCACACACTCAAATATGGAGTGGGATTTCATGGAGGACTACAGGGAGTCAGAGTGTGCTTTTCTTTTCCCCAATGCTTACTTAAACTACTTGTGGAAGAACAGGTTTGAACACGAATCATGGGTGGTGATGCTGCACCCACAGCTATTTGAAACCTTATGAAAATAAAGACAGAACTAGACAGATACCACCCAGTGTTCACTGCTCCATAAAGGTGTTTACCTCTTGTGCTTAAAACTGATCATTTTCTTCCTTCTTAATTAGTCAAACAATTATCACAATAATATTATTATTCAATACGTGGGTCTTCTGTTCTTCACCAGAGAGTGAAAGTTTGGTTCTTTAAAAGATGGGTAAAAAAATGCCAAAAAACTTTTCTTGTATAATGCAGCAATTAGTTTAAACCAGGAGGTTAAGTTATAGTTATCATTAGTCGACTAATACCAGCAGCCAAGGTATTGGACTGGAAGAAGAAGAAGAAAAAAACGCATTTAGATTTTTTTTCCTTGCACTAGGTGTCGCCACAGTGGCAATCTACATAGTAGTTTGGATATGTTTGTACACCTGATGCGTCGCCTGATGCAATCCTGACCATACTTTACCAGGGTCAGATGTTGGTGGGTGGGCAGACACAAACAATAATAATAAAACCTAAACTGCCATCCTGGTTCTATGGAAAGAGAGAGATAGAGAGTGAAAGAGAGGGGGTTTACATTCATCCATCAGGGGTCTTGACAGAGCCCAGTGCTGGTTCCCAGCTATCATCAAGCATCAGGTGAGGTACACCTTGTACAGATCAAGTCGACGTACAGCCACCGCTCAACAAACATGTCTATGATTTAAATTCCTATCTCTGATCAGCTTATCTGTTGTTTCAATCAGGATTTCCTGAAAGAACGTGCTAAAGTTTATAAACAGCACACAGAGGCTCCCTGTCAAAGCAAACTGTAAGATGTTTGGCTGCAATTTTTTTTTTTATTATTATTGTAGTTGATTAATCTCGTTTAGTATTTTTTACTTGACTGGTTATTGAATAATGAATACATTTCAGCTCATTGTGAGTTTCTCTTTAAATGTTCTGTTTTTGTTCTCAAACCAAAGGCATTCAGTGTTTTTTTTTTTTTACCTCCACTTTATCTTGTTTAAAGTAGAGAGAAGCAGCTGGTGCCACTCCCAGCTAACAACCTGCAAACAGCAGGACACACCCTAGTGAACTACCTGTTCATCCCAGGGCCATGTATGAAGGCTTCCAAACTCACTCACTCACATTCACAGCAACAATCAATTATATATTT